GAACGCATTTGCACGCAAAGTGGGAAGCATCGTGGCCGGTCTGGGGGAAGGGGTAAATTGGCGTCAGAGCTTCAGTCCGCCAGATAAGAGTAGCAGTCTTAGGAGCAGATGAATTGCTAGCGCACAAACAACCAAAGTTCCAGACACTCTGATCGACTGTAATTATTAAAAACTTAGTCCACCCTGGCAGCTTAAGGTGCTTTGAAGATGATAGTTGCATCGAAGGTATGAGGACCAAGATGGTGTAATATGAGATGTATTCACACAATTTCGTTTAAGGCGATGAAGGACTGGTAGAAGAAGAATTTTCCCACAATGATATAAGTTGAGCTGACGTTTCCATTGCATTTCCCAAGAGTTGATCTCATCCAGGCACCAGTGGACTACAGTTTCGACCTCGCATCGGTCTTATCAACACCCCCAGCGGGAGTCGAACCGCGACAGTGTAGCATGGGAGCTTGACACGTTAATTGCTCGGCCACATTGCAACGAGTACCCTTGGATCCACTGGTGCCTGAATAAGGACAACTTTTGGGAAACTAAGGCCATGTGAAATTGAATATGGGATAATTCTTCTACCAGTCCTTCATAACCTTCAACGAAATTGGGTGAATACATCTCATACTACTGATTTACTGGTAGTCTCGAAATTCTACTTAAATATGAAAAATAAAGTAACATAGTCGATTGTTATAGTAGATATACGTTTGCTTTATCGACAATCCCATCAAAAGAATATGATATAGCAAAAAGGCCTGGCCTTCCTTGAAAATTCACACTTGCCCTGTGACCCAAAAGGCGCTCGTGGCAGTGTAGCCGAGTGGTTGGTTGTTGGTAAGACCGATGCGAGGTCGAAACTGGAGTCCACTTTGGCGTGGATGAGAGCAACTTTTAGGAGCAAGGCTATAAAAATGCAATGGAAACGTCAGCTCAACTCATATGATTGTGGGAAAATTCTTCTTCTACCAGTCATTCATCACGTTAAACGAAATTGAGTGAATACATCTCATACTACTGATCTAATGGTAGTCACTAAAACAATACTTAATTGGAAAAACAAGATGATGTAGCCTTTAATATTGTCGCGGTCTCCTTTCGATGTACAGAAGTTACTCGACCTTGTTTTTGCAACATGGACCTATCGTTACGGTCTATTGCCTAGGTCTGCCCGACAATACGATCAAATTGTGATTACATGTTCCCACAGTTGATGGTTTCAGTTTTACCACAATCAGGTGAGTAGGCCTCAGGTTGCCAATGAATTTCACTTAGATTTGCTCCCAAAAGCTTGTCTCATCCAGGCCGAACAGGACTGCCGTTTTCGCCTCGCTTCCTCTACGGGACTCGAGTTTGGCTCATGAGTGCTCTCCTGGCGTTTCCACCCCATCACACTGACAAGGGAACCAGTTGGTATCGGAGCAGATGAAATCCTTAGGGCAAGCCAAGCCTCTCATATGTCACATTACTTGTATAAATGTCGACTTGGTAAAAGTGTATTTATTATTACAATCGAAGAATTTGCTAATTTTCGGTATAAGTGTGCGTCTATGATATGAATACTTTACGAATAAGAAATCATATCAAAACAATAATCGACAATCCCACGATGGAATATGATGCCGTAAATGTCACATCTGACCTATGACAGGGCTGTTTAATGGATAATTTACGTCGTTTCGGTACTAAACGTCTGCCCCAGTGGCAAGTCCACTGTAAATACAATCTAGCGAGAGAGGTTTGACATGAATTAGATAATTATTCAACAACTACTGACAATCTATACTCACATCGAATATAAGTAGCATCATAGGTTAAAATGGCAAATATTTGTTTGCCTTATTCGAGGCACCAACACAAGTGTAACCTGCGAGGCCAGATTTGCCAACAAATTGTAATCATTTGATTGCGGCGAAACGTAATTGTCAATCCTTAAATAACCTAAAACAAGCTAAGCTGGACAAGAGTTAACTCAACAATTGCGGACGGGCTCTCTCTCAACACGCAAACGCACACGCGCAGACACAGACAGACAAAGTAGAGCCTCGAAGGAGGATAGAGGATGGCCCAATCTAGGGCAAGTCTGGAAGGCTCTTCGTGGGTCCGTCAATGGGTCGCGAAAGTCTTCCGGAAGTGCACGTCGCACGCCCCCGTGCGTCGACGTGGCGCAGGTGCCTTGCGTCAGATCGGCCGGTCGTCGACGGACAAAACGGGTCGTCGCGCAGCGAAAAAGTGCTCGAGCCCAACTGTCGCCGGCGAAGCGACTTGACGAGGCAAAGCAGGCAGGTACAACAAATGGGAGATTCGGCGATCGGCAGTTGACGAAGAGGTTGTTTGTTGAGAAGCGGTTCGACCCGCCGAGTCGGCCGAGTTGTGCGCATCTCGTCCCAAGTTGTCGGCTGAACTCGCAGCGTCGGGCCGTTGCGGAAACGAGGCCAGACCACTTGTACACATCGAAAGGAGACCGTGACCAAAACAGACGTCCACAAGCATATGATTAGAGCCGATGTTTTTTATTCCATTTCACATGGAAAACTTCGACTCTAATCATATGCTTGTGGGAAAAATTAACGTTGCGACGTCTGTTTTGCTCACAGTCTCCTTTCGATGTGTACAAGTGGTCTGGCAAACAATCAAGCTAAATATGAAGACGAAGACCTTGTGGCTTCTTGACACATGAGTTGTGCTCAGCCCATTTCGCTCGTCGTGATGAAGGACTGAAGCTGATTTCTCCGGCAATCATGCCACTAGAGCCGATGTTTTCTATTTCATTTCACGTGGAAAACTTCGGCTCTAGTGGCATGATTGCGGGAGAAATCAGCTTCCAGTCCTTCATCACACCGGGCGAAATAGGCTGAGCACAACTCGTGGCTGTTATTGACTGGCCATCTCGAAAACCCACTTATTTACGAGAAGAAGCCACAAAGTCTTCGTCTTCATATTTAGCTTGACTGTTTGCCAGACTACTTGTACACATCGAAAGGAGACCGTGACCGAAACAGACGTCGCAACGTTAATTTTTCCACAATCATATGCTTAGAGCGATGT